AGCTGTGGGAGGACAGGTCCATGCTGCTGGCGCTGAGGCCTCTACTCTCTGCACGGAGGCCTTGGGTGCCCTGGAAAACACATCGCCCGTGAGGACCAGGACCCACACTCCACAGCCGCGCCCCAAAGCTGCCAGCCTACCTCCTGCACCCCTTGCCCTGCAAGCTTACTCCCCCAGTGCCACTGTCAGCCACATTAGGTGCCACCTCTGCCCTCCCTGCTCCCATTCTGTGGCTGAAGGGTTTGCTGAGCTCAGCAGGCAGGGAGGTGGTTACTTGGAGGCAACACCTTCCGTTTTGGAGCTACGATCTCAGAAGGGGGGCTGCGGAGCTGCCCAGGGAGGGCAGTGGGGACACCGGCCCAGGCCGCCCTGTGGGAAGGCAGAGTAGCTAGCTCCAGCCCCACACAGCAGCAGAGTACATCTGCATGGACAAACACCTCCGGTGGGGTCTCCAGCACCGTATGCGTGGTCCGCTGCGCCCTTCACCGCCCGTGTCGCTGGCTACAGCCCCCGTAGCCAGCTCCGGCCACCAAGCCCCCACCCCTACCCCCCTTGTGCCCGCGCCCCCAGCCCCCGTAGCCAGCTGCGGCCACAAAGCCCCCACCCCCCTGCCCATTCCTGCACCAGCCCCGCCGCCTGCCCGGTGCTTACCTCAAATGAAGCATCACTAGACTTGTGCAGGTAATTTAATGACGCAGCTCGTTTCATGCTACAAGAAAGCAGAGGAGAGCAGGTGTGACCTTGTGCCTGGCCAGACCCTGACCCCCAAGGTGGCAGGACCCACTCCACCCGCCCTGCACCCAGCCTGGCCCTCACAGCCCTGGTCCCTACCTGGTGTTCCTGGGCTCCAGGGGACCGTTGCCCTGCAGTTTCTTGACCAACATCTCACTGCTCCTCCGTATCACATCCCGGATTTTCCCCAGGGAGCTGCTGCGCTGGAGGGTGCCACTGCCATCCTGGACATAGAGACACAAGCCGGGGCAACGGCTGAGTGGCACCGATCAGGCGCTGGCATGCTGCAGACAGGTGGCCAGGAACTGGGCTTGGCTCCAAACACCCTCTTGCCCACTTGCACTGAGGATTTAGCTCTGGCCCAGAGCAGGCTTACTGCTCGCTACATGGCTCCTCCTCACCCTGTTCTCCATGGGACATCATGACCGTGGAGTCAGGGCCCCCCACCACAACGGCCTGGCTCATCCAGACCGATCCTCCCTCCTGCCCGGTGCAAGCCCAACACCCAGCCAGGCTGCTGACCTGTACCAGGCCACCAGCACAAAGGGCACTGGCATCCCCACAGCCCTGCTTGAACATGGCATAGCTCCTGCGACAGCTCAGGCAGCAGCTACCAAGGAGGTCCCAGTGGCCAAGGAAGCACCAAGCCCTGATGGGAGCCCCAAGTTTGGGCGTACTTCTGTCAGGCCAGGACATTTCAAGGACTCCCTCCTCATTTGCTGCTGGCTGGAGACTATCCTCCCCTTCCCCTTCCTCACCATGCCATTGTTAATCCTCCTCTCCATCCAGCACTCGTCCTGATGCACGTCCTGGCCCTGCCAGGCCTGCAGGCTCACTCATGTCAGACAAGACCAGTCCACATGCACACACGGCCTTGTCCCACCCCCAAGACAATTAGCTTTGAGCCTGCTGAGCAATTCAGGCAGCTCCATCTGGAATGCATTCATTTGGCTGCACCAACACTGTGTTGCCAAGCAGGCACCGCTCTCCTCAGCCCCCTGGCTAGCTGTCCCAGGATTGTACTTTGCAGGGGTTTTGCAGGGGCTGCCTGCTTTTTCCAAAGGCCAAAACCAGCCCTAAATCTTGTTCCCCAGCCCGTTTCCTCCCACATGCCCCCAAAAGTCCCCAGTACTCAGAAAAGCACTCTCAGCCCTTGACAGGCTCTAGCCCATCTCCTGCATTTAGCTCCACATGCACACAAGGCACAGGCTGCCAGCATGCCACCACCTCATGCCACCGTGCCATCATGACACCAAGCTCTTCCCCTGTGGCCAGGCATGCTCATTACACAAGGTCGGGGCACTACTGTTGATGTGGAGTTAACTTTTGCTCTGATGGCCTGATAACAGCAGTCCTCCCTGCTCCTGATCCCAATGGCCCCTGGCACATCAGGGCAGAAGAAACAGAGAGGCAACCTTTGCTCCTTAGGAGCGTGTGTGGAAGCCCCTTCGTACCACTCCAAATGACTGAAATGCCCTGTGGCCCAGGCTGGCAGCAGCAATTGCCCCAGGACTGTCCATGCAGCTCTGCAGGTAAGCAGGGTCTCTGCCTTAGGCCAGTCACCCCCTCGTGCTGACCCCTACAGTTTGTGGCCCTGGGGAAGGCTTTTCCAACACTTCCCCACTCCAATTACCCAAAGCTGATCCAGCCCTTAGTCCCCTCTCCAGCAGCTGAACAGGACTTTTCCTACCAGCAAACATTTCTCCTGGTATTCATCTCATCCCTTCTTGGATAAGCCAAGTGCATTGAACCTCTTCACTTGCTCATCAGGATGAAGGGTTTCCAAACTGGGAGCCATGTGCTGTTGCTGCAAGGGACCCACTCACCAGGAATGCAGAGAGCACCAAAAGTATTAGCAAGGTAAACAATTTGACTCCTGCACCAGGCATCCTGGGCAGGTTTTGGAGGGGCTGGCCATCCGTGTGTGGCACTAGCAAAGACAGGGGTGGGGCGTCTTTTGCCTCCCCACCAGACTTGCACTGGGTCACCACCCTCCCCGCAGGGCACTGCCGTGCCAGGCACTGTTCCTTTTGCCAGGGCACACAAGCCAGGGGTGGAGAAGGGAACACAGCTGGGGCAGGGGAGCGGGACCATGGTACAAGGGCAGCAGGATCCAGCCAGGAAGTATGCTCTGGGGTCAGGGCTGGAGGATGGAGCCGCGTTTCCCCAGCTGCAGTGATGCAGGCTGACTGCAGACCAACACCAGAACCAAATACTGCTGCATGCTGGGTTAAAAATAGCCTCCCTTCTCTCCCCACTCCCTTTTCTGCAGGGTTATTTTTAACCCAGAACATTTATGGGGCTTGGTTTACCGCAGAGCCCCCACCCCGTTGCACCCACCAGGATGAGAGCACTCAAAACAGACAGCAGCAGCTCCACGACTGAGCTGCTCTTTGCTGCATGCTCCCACCCTGCCTGCTGCATGGAGACAGAGGACTTGGGCAGGATTTCGCAGCATGTGGAGCTCAGCACTGAGGGACACAATGGGGTATTTCTCTAGCTAATGAAAACACCTGTTGGGGAAGACCCAAGCTCAGACATCCCAGGGCAGCCCTGCCGCACACGGCTACAGCGCTGAGGTTAGTAGCAACCCCAGTTTGGAGGTTAGGAAGAGGCATAGTGGAGTTGGGTCCCTCATCTCCAATGCTCAGCCTAGGAGAGGTGCCCTGGGTGCAGCATGTCCCCCTGCACACACACAGACACCAAGCACCCCCACACCTGCTCCAGCAGCATTTGCACCCGCCACCCCAGGGCTGACCGACGCTGGCCTACAGAGCGTGGAAAGAAGCACAGGGCAGCGGTTCGGGTCTGTCTACCTTTAATCAGAGGTACGGTTGTTACAGCACCAGGTCCGGGACATGGCAAAGCACAGGGGCAGGTGGCACTGAGGCCTGAACGCACCCTGCACTGGGGACTCACCACTCTCCAGGAGCATGGAGCAGTGCTGGGAGAGAGAGGCAGGGAAGGCACAGCCCTAGAGCATTCAGCCCTGGGCTCCACACCCTGTGGTCCTGAGGACAAACCTCCTTTCAGCAAGCACAAGCTCCCAGGGGAGTAGC